CAACATTTTGAATATTTTCCATCGCCATTGAAGTGTGAATAAATAACAATGAGAAGAAGGCATAATTGAATTCACTCAAAACAAAATTCAGGAGTGTTGTATCTCGTGTTTTTGAGATAACAAAAGAGAAATAAATAAGGAAGACAAACTCATAAATAATGAAAAAGAAAGTTTAATACACGAAGGTACAATTAGTAATTGACCTAATTCTAACTCTGCTCAACACCACTTATTTACATAAATAGACAATTTAATTTATGTATGTCCTATATGACAAAAAGTATCCTTTCTTTTTTTTTTTTGGCAATAGACCCCACCCACTTTTTAACATAAACAATTAAATTTTGATTTTCAGGTCTTCACTTTCAACTGCAAAGACTTGCTATAAATTGCAATTATTGTTCCAGAAGCTTTAAGCCTGAATTCAATCTTTTTAGAGAAGCTCTAAAATTATTGTTTTATTCGATTGCCTTAATTGTTGGCGTGATGCTAAAAGTGTGTACCTTACTCTTTTGAGTAACATCGCGTTTATTTAATTGTTGGCGTGATGCTAAAAGTTTATTTATCACCTCTCAGTTGCGCGTCTGTCCTTGGACAGAGTGTGCTCAGGGGCTTCTCTGTCAAAGGACAAAGAGGCAACTAATGAAAATAATACTGAAGAGGCGCCTAACCCTGGGGAACAGCTGCTCCTGTCCCGGGTGTCAGTGCTCGGGTTCACACCTAAGAAACGACCTTGTGTCACATCTCGCCCTAGTGGGGGAACAGAGTAAATACTGTGATGCTAAAAGTGAATATTTTGTGAAATGGGAAAAAATATCTTAAAAAATAAAAATGGAGAAATATATGATACTATTTTTTTTAAAGAGGCTTAATTGCATAAAATAAATCTTTGTATCAGAACATTATTTGTGGCATTATTTCAAAGATAAAAAACATGCAAAAGGTGTGTATATCAACTTATGTCATTTTAAAATCACATTGTAAGATATTGTGTATATTATTTGTAAGACATTTGAACAATTTAACTACTTTCAATATTTTGTGATTTATAGTTCAGAAGTGAATTGCAATGACTGATAAAAATCAGAATCAGAAACTGAAGTATCATGTGGCTATAGAATTTTTAACTCTAACAGATTGCACGACAGGAAATATCACAAGCAGAATGTCTATTACGAAGATTGCACTTCAAATGCAAAGTACAAATGTTGAATTGCTAGTTGTCATTGTGTAGATCTCTTTAAGATGATATGGATGGTCTGTGGAGGAAAACTTTGGCAAACAGATTTTTGTGTCTGCAAAAAAAAACAGTGTGCCAAAAGGACATCCCCCCCATGACATGGCTTTTATTTTAGCTACTCAGCAATGTTTGTTTTAAAAATTGTAATAAAATCTAAATATATGATGAAAGTGAATTTATAGATGTTTTTTTGTTTGTGAGAATTAAAAGATAAAAAAAATAAACATTAAATGGCACAGACACTTGTATCTGAGGATTCCTGTCTAGTAGGGTGGCTTGCTAATCCCCGTTGCAGACGCCTGCTCAGACACATTTTTTGTGTTTGTTCAACACCCACAGAGCCCACCTGTGGTTTATATTGAAACTATGCTGAGCAGACCTTACACTTTCTGGGAAAGTGAATGTTTATCTAGCATGATCTGAACATCTTGTTCATTCACTTGTTGGCAGAACCCTTTGGGAGCCATCAATGGTTGTGTTAGCACAAAGTCACAAGTCATCATTACCGAGGGTCTGAACAAGGCCAGCATGCTCAAACCCTTGGTAATGATGACTTGTGACTTTGTGCTAACACAACCATTGATGGCTCCCAAAGGGTTCTGCCAACTCAATTTCACTCAAAAGGCTTGGGTATGGTTTACAGGCACTTTCCAAAAGGTGGCTTCTTGATGATATTAGTCCTCCAGACCAATATCATCAAATCAACTTTCTGATAAATCGACCATGGTGAGATTCGAACCTGGATCTCATGGTCAGAAGGCAAACATTCCAACCACTCAGCCATGTGTCCATTAAACACTATTAGATTGTTTATTTACAAGAATAATATTATAGTTATTACTTTCTAAAAATGAATACAATTGTATTAAGATTAATGCAATATTTATCATTTAGCAGTTTATAAAAAAAAATATATCTGAAACTTTTTTATTCATAAATTTATAAATATTTACTAAATTATTAAAATATGTGAACCAACTATAAAGAAATCCTTATAATTTAGCATTTTATAAACTTTGAATCAATTGACAATTAGCAGATGTTTTGCCGACCATTACAATAAGCAATGTAATAAAGAGTGTAAATAAAGAATCTAATAAATAAACAATGTTTATTATTTTTGTTGTCAATTTTCAAGAACATTTTATAAATTCACTTTCATGTGTTTAGGTTTTATTACAATTCTAATTACCACTTTTTAGAACAATAAACATTGCCAAAGAGTGAAGGTAGTTAAAATAAAAATTGTATCCTGGAAAAACTGCCCTCTTGACACACTGTTTTTTTGTGGACATGAAGGTCAATGTTTTCCAAAACTTTGTTGAGAATATATATATATATATATATATATATATATATATATATATATATATATATAAAGAATTCTTTCCTTGTCATTTTAAAAAGAATGTCAGGCTCAAAAGTTCTGGAGTAGTTCTTATATACATACCATTAAAAGCACAAAAAATAACTTATATATACACACACACAGAATCTGCCAAAAAATGAATACACACTTCAGAAAAGGACAAACTTGTATAGATATTATAAGACTAAATTTATTCCAACATCATGAAGATTGTCAAACATGTTGGAGGTTGTGTTCCAAACTTATTGCTTCACTGATTTTTTTGAACTTCAAAAACATTCTCAAACTTGAAATACCAATTTAAAATAATCTTATGCTCCTCAAACAACAAACACATATCTGGCATGTTGTAGATGGGACTTGTTGCTACTATATCCATGAGGGTAATACCATCTGCCAAGAAAATATTGTATTACAGTAAACAGTGTTATTACAATTTGATAAACTATGAAAAACAAGTTTTCTGTTCCCAAAGTGTGTATACATTTTTTGGTAGACTCTGTAAATATCTCATGTATTTCAGAATGATTGATGATTGCTATAAACGAAAAAAAACAAAAAAAACTTACTGATAAACCCAAATAATTGTTAGCACAAAAGTTGAGCAGAGTATTACTTTGACCTTGAACCAAGATTGCTGATCCTTGTTTGGATGTAATCACCCTCTCAGACTTCCATGTTCCAGCCTTTTTGATATCTTCCAAACCAGAATCTAAAATTTCTTTGGCAGCACTTAGAGTGGCTGTCCCTGCTTTTAGCTGGTGGCCATGAAGTGTGGTTGGAATTCCTGAAAAATAAAGTATAAAGTTAAGCATTTTTTTTTTCAAGTAAATTATTAAATCAATAAGATTGATCAGTAAGTTGAACACCTGATAATTTGTGTTTCATATATCTCTAAAATTAGACAGACCATTCGTCACTAGGGACTCTGAATTTCTGGACCTGTGGCAACAACTATCTAATAGTTAAGATCTGTTTAAAACATTTCATCTGTGTGTATAATTAATAATAAATATTAAAATGACAAAGATGTAGTGTTGTAGATGGTTCTAACCAGATAACCACAGGTGTCATATAAAAGGCAAAAATCACCCCCCCCCAAATTACAATAAGCTTGAAAGAAAAAGACGAAAAGAAAAAGGGAAGTCTATTATAATATTACAATATTAATTACCTACTCTCTTCTTTTTTTTTTTTGTCCACTGTTTTGAAGTGCAAAGAGTAAACTATTTACATTATTTGGACTATTGTCTTCATCTTTGTTGCCATGTTTATCACAATGTTTCGGCCGTTTTACGCTCTGGTCTTCTTCAGGTGGCTGGAATGTCAAACTGAACCCTTTATTTCGCTCACTGGAGTAGACTGATCTAGTTCTACGTGCCATGTTTTAATGGATGTCAGTTATCAGTTATCTCCTGTTAATTCTCCTCTCCAAGTTCTACACTGCCTTAACCGGGTATTGAACTAACACTCTTTGGGTCCTGTCACTGGATCTAGCCAACGCCTTTATCCACTGTGCCATGTAAATAGTGTACATAATATCTCATCTCAGAAATATAGACAGATGCTAACAGTAAAGTTAAAATTTATACAAACCACAAAAAGAAAATGTATAAATGCATTTGATAGAGTGTGTGTGTGTGTGTATGTATGTATATATATATATAAAGGTAATAAATCCAGTGATATATAATCCAAGTGGATCCTCGTAATATAAAATAGAATAACTGATCCATAAAAAGAGCTCAATGTGTTTATTATTACAGAGCAAATAACTAGTAAACAATACAAAATTACCTCATATGGGGAATAGGCCTATTTCAACCGATAAAAAATTTGTTCGTCTTATTCAAACCTGGTATAGATGAAGTTAGTGTTGTAATTAGAAATATAACTGTGACAGCTTAAAAATAAGAAATAAAAACAAAAAAAAAACACTACCATTGAAAAACTAATACAGAATTTATCCATTTCAATGTCTCGGTCATACTAAAAATACTCTAAAAGGGAAATTTTAGTACAATTTTATTGTTAAACAACTTTATCTATATAATTTAAGTTAGCCCCCCCCAAAACCTTTTTGTTCCTCTCTTAGTTTCTTCATATAACCCCAATTTAATGTCATAAGGTTAATATCCGGGTTTAATTTTATAGAACCTCTTCCCTTTAAGACTAATACCTTCCACCATCCCCTGACCACTGTCTCGTGCCTTTCGTCTGACTGAAACATTGAAATGAATAAATTCTGTATTAGTTTTTGACCTTTTCTTTTTGTAGCTGTCACATTTATAATTCTGACACAAACACATTCTATACTGGGGTTGAATAAGATGAATAAATTTTTTGTCGGTTGAAATAGACCTAATCCCCCATGAGGTAATTTTGAATTTT